GTGAGAGAGAAGAAATTAAAAAAAAATAAAAAATAGACAAGAGCAAGAAATGCATGAGATCATTAGCGAAAGACAACTATGATGAAAGGCTTATGTAACAAAAAAAATATTTGAGATAAAGGAGTAAACCAATACCTAACACGAGGTTTACAAAATAAGCAGTCCCAAAGACTGGGAGAAATCCTCCCAGCCTTAAAGACTATACAAGCCTGGAAGGCCGGGAGGAATCCCTCCCGTCCTCAAAGACTGTGGGGTATCTAATTCCAGGAGGGAAAGCTCCTGGCCCTCCAGGACAGGCGTTCAGGCCAACCCGCCCTTATTTTGGGGCAGGTTTTACTGCACACCGCTCTTTCTGAAAATTTCAGCAAACAGAGGGGTGTGGAGCAAAATTCTCCCCCAAAAAAGGGTAGGTCTTACTCCCCGCCCCTTTTGGAGGGGCAGGAGGGGGGAGGGCGTGTGTTTATCAATGCACTCCTGATTACCATGCTAGACCAATAAATGATGCACTCCCAAACTGTTCAAGAATACCAGCTGAGTCACATTTTCCAATTCTAACTCATCAAAATTCTCTAAACCAGAAGTCCTATCAATCCAGCTTTTCCCTTTTTTAACAATTGCAATCAAATACAAATCTTCCAAAGATCTCACAAACTAAGAGAAATTATAAAAGGTTTTTGAGCTGCTGTTTTGATTTCCTGTATTCAATTAATTCTTAATTACAAGCCATTTTCAACATTTTTAACATACCTCATTTGTAGAAGTCCACGAGTTCCACTTGGGCATTGTAAAAGAGTGGCACATAAGCTTTGGTTTACCCACTGTATATTTGAATGTGTATGCCATGGAGCTCACAGGAAAGTACCAAAAAGCACTCAAATGGGTAATGGTGGGCTATAATTATCATGAGGAACACTTTTTAGTCACCTACTTTCAATAAAATATCAGCTCAGAAACCACTGCATCCTTGACCCAGAAGAAAAAATACCAAGATAATTGATGGGATTGATTGCATGCTCATGATGCAAGTTGTGAAAAAGGGTTTGTGAAGCTGATCTATACTATTGAGATACCTGTGACATGTCACTATTCATCTCATTTTCATGTTTGTTAGTGTGCTTTATTGAGATTTCATTTCCTTCATTGCACACTCTGTGACACTTCGTTGTTTTTCTTTAAGCTCTTATACTGGAGTCATATGTGTTCAGGAGGATCTTCTTTTTCCTCATTCTTTCCAACATATGTGTCTCCAGGTATGACCTGTCTCTTTTTCTCTCATTTCTTCTCTCATCTTATGTTGAAATGAACTCTTATCCTTTCCAAAATATATGTCTCCAGGGTGTTCATCTCAACATGTACTGCAAACACTGATTTTCCAAATTCCACTTTATTTAAGGTCTTGTTTCGAAGCAATTTATGGAAAGTTTTGCCTGACATCCTATGTGAGATCTGATCAGGTCTTCCAAAACTTCATCAGATGGCACAAGAATCTACATTATACTGCTAATTTATATCAGTGCCAAACAAGGCCTAAGAGCATCTCCACTGCAGTCCCTATCCCACATGTAGGGACCACAAGTCCCAAAACTACACCCACTGTGGCCTCTATGTGGGGTGGTGAATTTTAGGACTCAAGTGCGTAAGAGGTGGAGGGCCAAAAAAAGAGGATCTTGTTTTTGGGAAGGGCTCACGGAAAAAGAGTGTAAAGAACCAATGATTTTTATTCACTGATATCTAGTCAGGTTTAAATAGAATAAATACAAATGATGAAAATTTGGTTGTGAGAAATGAATAGCAGAACCATTTTGAATAAAAGACTGAGAGGAAGAAACATGATTCTTTGGAAGAAACAAACCGTACAAAACTTCTCAGTCTCTTTTAGTCAAGCCGGATGAGTTAATCAAGAAAAACATGCTATAAACCACAGATATTTAGAGTTGTTAATTCTAAGTAATCAGACTTTATTAGATCAAACAGAAAGATCAGTAAGAGAAAAAAAAACATTGTAGAGACATGAGTTGTTGAGAAGAGCATTACCTAGGTTTGATATTTGACTCAAAAGGGGCTTAAAAACAACAAAAAATAAGCTACTCGATGAGTATAATCTAATCTGATTTTATGATGACTAGAAAGTAATGAAGGGCAGAGAGAGACCAAATGAGGAAAATTCAACATGGGGCCCTTCAAAACTTCTTAACCACTCCAAGTCCTGCCATCTTCCAACTTACTAACTGATCATGTCAACTATAACCACTAACCCTGCAATGCAGCTATCTCAGCCAACCAATTCCACTTCATCAGATAATCCAATCACAACCAAACATGACCATCCAACCAAATTGAATCCACCCATAAATTGAAAGGAGTTTTGGATGAAAAGTGATATGTGGGAGCACTTCACTAAAGAAGGTGAGCCATTTTTTCTATTTTTTTACAAAACAATTGAGTTTTTTGATTGTTTGTTTGTTTTCATCCTTTGGTTACCTGGGATGAAGCAAAAGCAATATGTAAATACTACAATGGAAATCTTTTTGGTTGTTGTAATGCTGGAACAAATCACCTCCACCCCCATCTCAATGGCTGTAGGCAAAACCTTGGCTTAAACCTTCCATCTGAAAATTTCCACTGGAAATTCTCATAAGAAGCCTCAAGAGAACTCCTTGAATAAATTGTCATCATTTACAAGTACCCATTTGGAATGGTGGAACAAAACTTTTTCCAGGAATTCATCAGATCTCTCCAACCAGAGTTCAGGATGCACAGTACGTGATGATTCCATGAAGATTTTAAATCAATACAGAAAGAATGTCATCAAAGAAATATTGACAATCCCATGTTTAGCCTTGATGGTTGAATTATGTCTAGAGACAGACAAAATGAAGATGTGTCTGATAATCAGACTGGACACATGATAATCAGGGCACACTATATTAACACTGAGGGGGCACTTATCAAGCAAATAATTGGATTGAAGTAGAGATGGTTGCAGGGTATCCGTTGCAGATACCCGCTATCCGCTGGCGGTGTGGTAGTCAAAAATGTGAAAATTAAAAGTTTTTTCTTTCTTTTTTCTTATATATATTTTCTTCATATTATCACCCAATCACTCTCAGAAATCACACCATACGGCTCAAGAACTGGACTACACAGACAAGTTCACCATTGGTCCCCAAGGAGGCGTCACTGGAACACACCTGGATCAACTCTTACCCAACAATGGACAACATATCACAAGGATTTCACTCATCACTACATGTCACCAATCCCAATTACAACCCTCAAGCTACACAGACACCCTCAGTACAGTACAAACCCCATTTACACATACACTCATTTACATACATCTACACTCTTTACATTTCACTTCTACATATTACATCATACCTGCAGCCTAAATTAGTGTATTTTCCTTTCATGACAGCTGCAGCTTACACCACCACACTCACTTGTAAACACATCAGAACCTAACCAATCAGAATCACTCTTTCAACTGTTTGGATCACCACTTTAACTCTTGTCCATGTCTGACCAATCACATTCACTCATTCAAATTTTGTATGTAGCTAAAATACCTCATGTAATGGCCCAGGCCAGCCAAAATCACTCATTACTGGCTTCCCTGGAGCTAAATTCCCTCACTGTTGTCTATATAAGGAGGATATCCTCCCAGTTGTTAAATCCTCAGTCAAGTAACACTCAAGCAATATTTGACCACCTTACACAAACACTTTAAAGCGCCGACCACCACCAAATCAAACTCTTCATCACACAAACTCATTCCTGAACTTTACCCTATCACTTGATTAAAACTTGCCGAGCTAAGCTTGGTGGGTCTTGTTATCTGATAGTATAGAAGGGCAGAGCTTTCACTCCATCATCCCCTTCTCAATTCAGCAAAAAAGGTCTTACAACCACTTTTTGAGTCTTACAGCGGATACCCCCTAGCGCCAACAGATACCCACCAGGGGGTACGGATTTGGCTGCAGATGGCCGCTTTCTGTTATGAGCTGTGGAGGACTGGAACTGGGGATGTTACATATGTAGAGAGCCTGTTATGTACATGTCACAAACTTTGAACTTGGAGTTTGTTTGAGATCCACACCTTGTACATTCCTCATCTTGCAATCTACCATCAAGACTCAGAACCCTGAAGATCCCTCACCTGCTCTCCCCAGAACACCCCTAACATATTGCAAGATCAACTTACACGGATACCAGGACAGAAACACCCAGAACACCACCTTATCAAACCTTGAAAATCAACCTCAGAAACTCTCCTCTCAAACCTTGAAAATCAACCTCAGAAACTCTCCTCTCAAACCTTGAAAATCCATCTCTCAAACTTCCCTCAAACCTTGTTTATCAACCTTGAAACTCACCCCTCTACCTCTCTCACCCTCACAGACCCTTCAGGACCCCCCAGGAGGTCGTTTTTTTGTGTTTTTCGTCGGATCACGTCGGATTGTTTGGTTTTTTTTCGTCGGATTGTTGTAGGGCCCTCGGAACATGCCCAGGACCCTCGGAACACCCTTGGATCACTCAGATCAGGCCTCTGAACGCTCAGAGAACCCCCAGCACCCCTCCAAGCCCCCCCACAACCCCAGATTGTTGTCGGACAGCCCGGATCAACTCGGATCGTCGTCAGACAACCCAGGGAGACCCCCCACGCCCCCAAACGCTCCCCAAGACTCCAGCAGACTTCTGAACACCTTCCTGAGTCCCCCGCAGCGCAGCGAAGCACCCTAGCAAGGCCCTAGAACCCCAAAGACCCCCCCCAGCGCGCCCCAAGGCCCCCAAACAACCTGCCAGAGCGCCCCAGAGCCCTCAAGGAGCCCCTCAGAGCGCCCCACAGCCCCATCAAGGCCCCAGAATCCCCAAGAAAAGTGGAGTGGATGACATCCAGACCCCATGAACACCCCCCAGGACCCAAGGGAGGACACCCAGGCCCTCAGAACCATCAGAACCCCAGAACCCCCAGTAATCCCCCAGAAAGAGCTCATTTGAGGCACTTTTAATTTTTGGCTAAAATAGCTCATTTTAGCCTAATTTTTACTCCCGAGTCATTTTGTAAATCCTCAGCAAATTGACCTATTTTCCACCATGCAAATAGCCATTTTTTCCTGGGGCAAAACTGGTATTGTTTGTAGTGTGTTTTCCAGTGATGGCATGTGTGTGGTCTTCTGATACGTCATAATATAGCGAGCGAGTTGATTGTTTTACGGTTAATCAATGAGAGTGCAGGCTCATAACCTAATGGACGAGAAGGGTGCGAGTTCTTTTGTGAGAACCGACAAGGTTTCAGACTTAGACCACCGACACAAGTGAGCAACAAAAGAGAAGCAGACCTGAGAGAAAGATGAATGAGCAAAATGAGAGAATGAAAAATGGTGAGTATGAGAGATGAGAGAAATGAAAAGAGCTCACACCTGAATGACCACAATGAGTTCAAATGGAGAGAGAACAAATTGGCAATGAGAAACAAGTGATGTATGAAACTTGAATGAGGAAAAGGAAAATACAACATAGAGAAACAAAGTTGAAATAGTCTTTTTTACATTAGTTTTCAATCCTGTTTATCACCAATGCACATCCATTTCCCCTTTTTCAAGCGCAGTGGTTCATGGCTATGAGCATTCCCATCTGTGACATGTCAATACTTATGTTTTAATTATTTATCTATCATATAGAGAAATGAATCATTCCATTGTGTTCAATTCCTTACAGAATTTGTGGTGACCTTTATGCTAAGTCCAAAAGGCAATATGTTAGAGATTGGGGGTTTGATAAGCGCAAGCCAACCCCCCTTGCGCACACCAATCTGCACGCCAGCTACAGATTGGCGTGCGCGCCTGCAATGGCGTGCAGGCAGGCATGCCACTTGACTGCAGGGGGTATACCCTGCAAGTTGGTGTGCCCGCCTGCACGCCCAATATGTGGTCCTAAACGCATATTTATATGCGTCTAGAACCTGGTATGTCCCATAGGACCCAGGCATGCACATCATCCCTGACATGATTTCCCAGATGGGAAATCTTGTAAATTTGAGGGAAATCCTGTAAAAAAATTCAAGATTTTTCCATATTTTTTAGATTTTTCTAAATTTTTTAGATTCTTCCAGATTTTTCAGATTTTTTCAGATTTTTTAGATTTTTCTAGATTTTTGAGATTTTTCTAAATTTTTTAGATTTTTCCAGTTTTTTTTTATTGAGAGACATCTATATATAGAGTTGAAAAAATATGAAAAAATCTGAAAAAAATTAAATTAAATTTAAAAATCTGGAAAAATCCCAAAAATATGGAAAAATCTCAATAAATAACAAAAATCTAAAAAATCTAGAAAAATCCAAAAACTCTGAAAAATCTAAAAAATTTAGAAAAATCTAAAAAATCTGGAAAAATCTTCAATTTTTTTTACAGGATTTCCCTAAAATTTACAAGATTTCCCATCTGGGAAATCATGTCAGGGATGATGTGATGGGTCCTATGGGTCAGCCCCATTGATTTTTTTTCAAACCCCCTCGGCCTAGAGAGGCCAAGGTCACACCGCTGTGGAACTACTCTTGGGAGGAATAGAGCTTGAGAGGGATGAGTGCTTTATTGGGCTGCCTCTCTGATAACAAGAAAATATAAGAGTATGGACTCTTAAGGAAAAAGGTGTGGCTTTGGAGATTTCTTGAGGATGGTATGTCTAATATGTCTTATGTTTACTAGTCTAAATATACTTGTTCACAAATCAAGGTATCCCAAATGTTGATGGGCAAATACCTGGCTAATAGTGGGTGATCAGTTATCTGAATTGCTGGGGCAGGATCTGATGGGGAACAAATGAAGAGGAAAAACAAAGCTCCTTATATACAAGATTCTGGGGAGTGGCCAATTTGTGGTTGGAAGATGGATGGAACAAAATGGAACAAAGAATGAACAAGGAAGAAAATTGAACTATGAACAATGTGGTCTAATTTAGTGTGGCACTAAGATAAGATAAGACTAGACTGAAACCAAAGAAAGGGCAAAGCTAAGATAAGGTAATGAATTCATTCTGAAACAGAGAGAGGCTTGGATAATCTTATCAAGGGGAAGAGGTGGGGGTAATTATTTCACCCAGATGGGGATTAAACAGACAATGGGAAGAAAGGCCAAAAGAGGGCTAGCATGAAACATGGCTGTTGTGTGGGAATTCTTGGCATAAGGTGAAAGGAGATAAGAGATAAGGAATATATTTTAGAGGGGTTTGAGGTTATATTGAGAAGGGGTACTAGTGTGTAGTTGGTGTGTGAGCTAAGTCTTATCAAGATTGAACTAGGAATTTGGCCATGGGTTTCATTTGAGGAGTTTCAGAGGTGTGGAAGATGTCTTTACCCATGATGGAGTACTTGTGAGGGTTATTGGTTTGTTGCCTTTGTCTGAGGGCCTGGGGAAACTCTTGAGGGGTCTTGGGTCTGTGATTCTTGTGTGATATGCAGTCTTGCTGTGCCTTGAGGTTCAGGATTGGCTTACCACATCCACCCCCAAATTAGATGATGTCCCCATCATCCAAGAAAAGAAAAAAAAGAAAAAAAGACAATCCTGAAGCCAACTGAAAAAAATATATTCTAGGAAAAGAAACTTGTCCTAAAAAAATTTTAGAGGAAAAGTGCTTATGCATGTAGGGGAATTTTTATTTTTATTTTTATTTTATATTTTTATTAATTTTCTGTGCATGTTGCTGGATGCTTGATTTCATTCATTTCTTCATTGCATTCATCTTGAGTTTTCATCCCATAGCCTTGAGGTTATTTCATTTCCAAGAAAACATTTTGATTCATCAAAAAAATGAGAGAAGAAAGAAAAAAAGAAAAGAAAAGAGAGTGCTATCCCCAAAAAAAACAAAAAACAAAAACCTAAATTTTGAGGGGTGACAGATTGAGGTTTATAGATCCAGAGCTTCAGGTGATTCGAAGAAATTTTGCAATGAAGGGACTTGGTGGGTCTTCAATCTAAGGAGCGGTGCACAGAGTGTGGTTCATGTTATTCTACGAAGGAGGACTAGGCCCCCTAGTTCAGTCTCCTTGATGGCTTTGACGGAGATGCGCTGTCCGTCGGCAATTGCACCATCGAGTGACTCGGCTTGATAGCCCGCGTCTGATGGTTTGAGGAAGACTACTAGAGCACTCGTCGGTCGATCCAATGCAATAAAGCAGTGGCTGATTGAGCCAAAGTCTTGAAAAGTGAGTTGAATATCGTCGGTTGTTGTTCCAAAGGCGAGGTTAGAGATGGAAACGAAGTTAGAATGATAGTTAGGCCGGTACTGCCTACAATACGTAGCCGGATCATCGTAAAGCAGGTCCGGTGTACTCATTGCTTCAGCAATATTCTCCAAGTCGGTCTGTACTTGCGGTGATATCTGGTAGGAATAGGCGCTTAGGGAGGAACAAGATCGGTCAATGAATGCCTTGCTTCTCTCGCACCGTCTGTAAGGGCGTTGTCATTCCCTCAACTCCAATTGTTCGATCCTTCAGACTGGATACCTAGGCGTGTTTGAAGCCATGTCATCGGCTAAGCTATCTTCCAAGACTATCCGCTCATCCAAACTTGAGGTGAGCGGCGGTGTCTCCTGCTGTGTAGAGTTTTCTAACACTTGGTTCTGGCCTAACCGCTTAGTCGGTTGTGCCATTCATTATAGCTTCGAACAAAACCCGAAACCCGGCGGCTGCTCCCGTAGGCTCTAACACTTGGTGTGATGAGTTGAGGCCGACTCTTTCCGCCTTAGCTGCCGTATGGAGTGGCCTCCTTAGATTCTTAAAGCCTTCGCTTCCAGTACTTCGTTCGTATCCACAGTTGTACCTTCCTTGGCCTCGTTGACATGTCTGTTTTCTACATTCCGGTGAGACTTGAGAACGAGCCACAATCCCCTTACTCTCTTCAGTCTGATCAGTCTACCCATCTATCGTCTTCTCCTGATCTTGACGGTATGACACCTGTTCCATCGATCAAATCGGAAGCGACCGATTTGCCCAATACCTCTGCTGTCGAAGCTGCCGCACCTGAAGAGACCACTGCCTCTTTGGATCCTGATCCTTCGATCAAATCGGAGGAGTCCGATTTGCCTGCTGCATCAGTTGCTGAACTGGCCGACCCTGAAGAGACCGTCGATGTGCGTAGACGTGTCGAAGACCATGTGCACGCCCCTCCGCTCGCACCTCCTTCTCTCAACGCGATCTACGATCTTGCAATTGAGTCGATGACCCGCATCAGTCCTTGCGGACTTCATCCATTCAACCGCTACCTAGAGACCGCTCGGTCTCCTTCGCCAGAGAACTTTGGCTTTCTTTCTGGAGATGGAACCGCAGCATCACCCATCCGAGTCGACACGCCACCGCCTGCCGGTCCTAACTATGTGTACCCTCCCCCTCCCGATCCTGACAATAGCTTAACCGCCGAGGAACTCGGACCGATCTGGGCTGAAGTTGTCGAAGAGGAGGTAGTTTTGAGAGCTCGTCGCCGCATCAAAGTACTGTTTAGGTCTTACTTCTTCATATTGGACGGTAGCGCCCTCAATCATTGTAGGCGTTCTGGTGGATACCGCCGCTTGGCCCGTCGTCGTTTGTATGAAAGCGTGATGGAGGAGTTGGATGCAGTACTTGAGACTGTAGATGAAGTTCAGATGACTAAGATAGAATAAGTGAGTGGTAACTAAAAAAACTAGAAATTTCTTGATTCTTGTACATAAACTAAAAAGTTGAAAACTTGATGCTGATTCCTTTTTTTTTTTTTTTTTTTTTTTTTTTTTTTTTTTTTTGACAAGAGTTTTTTTTTTTCAGGAATTTTTATAGGATTTTTCAAGGATTTTTCAAGGAAAATGTTTTAGAATTACAGATAGCAAAAAAAGTACTTGTAAGGAAGGTTATGCCCTAGAAAAAAATGGTTTGACCTGAGAGGCAGCATATCTCCTCTTCAGTTCAGACCCATCCAATTCTTCCAATGCATAAGATCCTCCTTTTTCTTGCTTGGTAATTCTATAAGGCCCATTCCACCTGTTCTCAAACAATTTGCCCCACTGAGAATCAAGACTTTTATTATACACCAAAACCAGCTGTCCAGGAGTGAGTGGATTTCTGAGGGATTTCTTCTGGTTCAGTGTTTCCACAGATTGGGATCTGGCCTCCTTCATTTTTCTGTAAGCATCCTGAAGGACTTCCTCTCTTCTTTCCAGCTGGAGAACTCTTGCTGACAATAATTCTGTGGTTGATTTAATTTTGGCCCAATCTGTTCCCAGGTAAGATTCCAATTCTAAGTCCACAGGCAAGATGGCTGGTTGTCCAAAAATTAATTCATAAGGAGAATATCCTGTGGTCCTTTTGGTGGAAATTCTGTCTGCAAAGAGTACTAGTGGTAAGTAATTCCTCCATTTTTTTCCATCTGTTTCACAGAGTTTGACCAAAGTATCCTTTAGGGGCTGATGTCCTCTTTCTACCATTCCATTTGCCTCAGGGTAGTATGGTGTAGTGACTTTGACCTTGGCACCTGCTTCAGTGAGGGATTTTTGGAGTTCTTGGCCAAATTCTGGGCCACCATCAACAACAACTGTTAAGGGGACTCCATATCTGTGGATCCAATTTTCCATAAACCATTCTGAGATTTTCTTGGCTTTTATTTGCTCCAGGCCTACAGCTTCCACCCATCCTGAGAGATCATCCCTGGCCACAACAAGGTATTTCCACCTTCCTGCTTTAATGTGAATGGTGTCCAGGCTTACTCTTCCAAAGATTATGGGGATCCCAGTAGCCTTCTTGAGTTCCACAGGTTTTGCTGAGCTTCTTTTCTGACAGGCCACGCAGGATTGAACCCATTTCTTGACAGCTCTCTTCATATTTGGCCACCAAAATCTGAGTTTTGCTCTTCTGTAGGTTTCATCCATGCCTCTGTGGCCCAATTCTTCATGGAGGGTCTTGAGAACTGTTTTCTGGAGGTCTTGAGAGGTTACCACGACCTGGGGAAAAGGTTTGTTTCTTCTTTTTAAGTGGCCTTCTGACATAAAGAACATTGCTGACTTATGTTTAATAATACTCCAATCTTTGTCTGAACATTCAGGGGGTCTGTTGAGGGTTTCCAAGTAATATTGAAGGTGTTTCCAGACTCCAACTTGGTTGCTGTGAGTGGGTTCCACCCCCAAATTTGCCATGTTGATCTCTTTTAGTCCAAAGCCAGGGTGAGGTTTGATCCATTTTTCTTCTTCATCAAAATCTGTTCCAATTTCCCCAGGGTCAGGGGTTCTTCTGGATAGTCCATCTGGCATTGTGAAGGTTTTTCCAGGGACATGCTTCATGGTAAAAGAAAATAGTTGGATAAAGGCTACCCATCTGGTCATGGGAGCATTTGGAAGGCTGGGTGAGTTGATCATTTCTATTAGGCTTTTGGCATCTACTAATAATTCAAAATGTTGGCCCCATAATTGAGTTTGTAGTTTCTTGAGGACCTTGGTGACTCCACAAAGCTCCAATTTGGACTGGGAATATTTGGATTCTGTTGGGGAGAATACCACTGATTCATAAAGGACAGGTCTGTCCAGGCCTTCATCTTCTTGTGTGAGTACTGCTCCAGCTGCTATGTGACTTGAATCCACAGCTAATTTTATTGCTCCTGCTTCTTCAGAATAGTCCAATTTTTTTAGAGTAATATCATAGCCCACCAGTTTCTTCAGTTTTTCAAATGCATCCTGGCAAGCCTGGTTCCATTTCCATTCTGAGTCCTTCCATGTGAGCCTTCTGAGGGGTGAAGCAAGTTCTGAAAGTCCAGGAATGAACATCCTGACATAAACAAAAACTCCAAGAAATCCTCTGACATCTGTGGGATTATCAGGAAGTGGCCAACTTTCCACCTTGTTGAGTTGTTTCTGGGCAATTTTTCTTCCTTCTTTGCACACCACATGTCCTACTAGGTCCAAGGCAGGTACACAACAGGCAAATTTCTTTCCAGAGATGGTGAGTCCAGCTTCTTCTATTCTGAATAAGATTCTTTCCAGAGTAATGGCATATTCCCAAATAAATTTTCTGATTCCTGAATTTTCTTCCAATGTTTCTTGATTATAGTCTGACACAGGGCCTTTAATCCCTCCATCATCAATAAAAATGCCCACATTATTTGGTATTTCATCCTGGAGTATCCACATCATTTGGGCTTGGTAGACTGCCACAGAATTGGTGGCTCCTTGGGGTAATCTGGTGAGTTGAAATCTGCCAAGGGGGGTTTCAAAGGTTGTGAGGGGTCTGGATTCCAGGGCTAATTCTCTCTCATCATATCCTCCCATTATATCACCCAGACCATAGCAGGCCCTTCCAGTGAAAGATTCAATGAGTTCTTCAGGATTTGGTGGAAGTCCAGAGTCTTTGATGGTGACTTTGTTGAGCCTTTGTAAGTCATGGACCACTCTTAACTTTCCATCTTGCTTTTTGACACAAAATACTGGGCTGGAATAACTTGAGCAGGACTGTTCATAGAGGCCAGTCTTGAGTCTTTCCCTGACTAACTCTATGAATTGGTTCTTGATGGCTGCAGGTATTGGGATGGGTCTTTGTTGCCAAGGGTCATGCTTGATAACTGGGATAATGTAGGGTTTTCCATAGGTATGCTTCAGGAGTCCTCTTTCCTCTTCACAAAAGGCCAGTCCTCCTTGTCTGAGCTTGATGACATGCTTGAGGAGTTTCAGTTCTTCTGGCCAAAGCCATCCAGGGGGTCCAAAATTGACAACCTTCAACCTTTCTTCAGTTATTTTCCAGGTGGGGGTAAATTCAGGTGGGAAGGGGGTTAAGGGGGTTTTGTAAGGGTCTCTTGATAAAGGGGGATTGCATAAAGGTGAGTTGAGATTCTGAGGCATAGGTTCATTAACTGGTTTTATTTTTTTTGTAGTTGATTTATATTTTGCAGCATATACTAATTTATCCTCCTCTTTTTTATTAGGCACCTCCCAAGACTTCACTTGTGGGAGGTGCCAGACACTAAAAAATGACTTGAAGTAGTGGCTGTGTGGACAGGAAAATCTTTCTCCCACTTCTGATTGGTTGGGTTATGTATGGGTACCAAGTAAGTTTTGCCTGACTTCTGAATTGCCAAGGATTCTGCTCCATGTTGGTGAAATTTGATGGTTGCTGACACATCTATGAGCCATGGTTTGCCCAAAATAGGTTGAACTTCTCCTGCAGAAACATAAAAATGTATTCCTCTGGTGATGTGACCCACTTTTACAGGTACATTTTCAGCTACTCCTAGAATTTCATTCTTGTGGCCACCAATTCCTTTAAGATTCATGGCTCTTTGGGTGATTATGAGGCCCATTCTTGCTGCAAGGTCCCTGGGGAGTAAGTTGACTTGTGATCCATTATCCAAGAGGGCTTGAAATGACTTCCCATTGATACTGACATCAATATATCCTAGGGGGCAGGCATAATGGCTGGGTTCTTCCTGGGATTCTTCATCTTCTTCTCCATCCTGGTCAATTCCTCCAGAGTTGGTAGATTTGGTGGAATCCACTGGAATCCTTTTTGGGGTAATCTTTTTCTTGAAAGCTTCAACAGTTCCATTGGAAATTGCAAAAATTTCCCCATAGGAAAGTTCCATTTTACCATCCATTAACATCCTGCTGACCACTTTGTCTTCTGCATCTGGAAATTGGCTGGTTAGAGGTCTCTCCACATAGGTCTTTTTAGGGGCTTTTTCCTTGGTAGCTGGTATGGTGGTGCTTTCAGGTTCCTGGATTTGGACTTTCTTTGGTGGAGGATTTTCCTTGGTGGATGAAGGTGGCAGAATTACTGGGTTGTAGTCATCCTGTCTGGCAATTTCTTGAAGTCTGTCCCTGTCTACATCCATTAGGTCCTCTTTTTCTTTTCTGACCCTTTTGCTGACTGAGGTTTCTTCTGGATATTCCTTTCCACTTCTGGTCCTTTTTACAGCTTCACATTCATAGGTGGATTCCTCCTCTTGGTCAATTTCTTCCAATTTTCCAAAAGAGGTCTGGGGGTCCATGGAAATTTCTGCAGATTTATTTAGGGCTCCTTGAGGTAAGTTGAGAATTCCAGGCTGTTTCTGAGATAGGTGAAAATGGTCCACAGCTGATTTGAAGGCCTTGTTTTTCTGCCATTGAACTTGGGATCCATCTGGTAGAATTACATTGGGTCCATCCTTCTTGAACAGTCCTTTTAGTTCATCCTCATTGGCCATGTTACACCTATGGAAAGTGTGGCCTAGTCCATGGCAGTAATTACACTTGACAGTACTCCAGTCTTTTTCCAATTGGGCAGGTTTGTAGGGAACATGGCTTTTGGAAATTAAGGGGTTGGATTTCTGGGTGTGCCAGCTGGCCAAGGTTTTGGTAAGGTCCTCCACAGCTTTCTGGTCCTGGGTTTTGGTGGCTGGAGTTTTTGCTGAGTTGTTTTGCTCCATTCCTCTCCAGACTTTTCTTCTTTCCATAATAGAGGCAGACTGGACTTCTCTGTGGATATAACTGACTAAGGTTTCAGTATCTGGTAAAATGTCCCCACCATCCTTGGAGGCCAACATCATGTTGTCTCTGATGAGTTCTCTGGTTACTGAAGATTCCAAATCTGGGCTGAGGGATTCCAACAAGCATTCTCTGGATTCCTCCAAGTTGGAACTGTATCCCATCCTGACCAAATAGTGAGTGATGGCTTCAAATTTGGTCCTAAAGATTTTAAAGTGCTCCAGGGTCTTGATTCCTCCTCCTTTGATGGCAGAATTTACCAGGTGTTTAAGGTCATGTCTGGTGTATTTGACTAGGGGAAGGGAAGATCCAAATCTGTTGAGTAGTTGTTTCTTCAGTTTCTCCCAATTAGAGTCTTCATATCCTGACATCTCCTCCACTTCATCCTTTAGGTCCATTCCTTTGATAAAGGGGATAATTTGTCTGGCCAAATCCTGGGGGGTTGCTCCATCTGTTTCACCAGCAGCCTCATACCTCTTGATGAATTTTTCTATGGGCATATTGGTCCCATCAAAGCAGAGGTCCTTATCCAGGGGTTTGATTTTGATGGTTTTTCTTCCTCCAGAGTATTTGGGCATTTCTGGTTCTCTTTCCAGGAAGTGGATGGGTGTAGTTTTCTTGGGTTCCAGAGGGTGAGTGGGTTGGGTTACAGTGTTCCTTACTGGTGGTGCTGGTACTGTTTGCTGACTGGGTGTTCCTTGGGGGTACAGGGGTTCTTGAGTTTCCAAGGGGTCCAGGTCATCACTTTCAGAGGGTTGGGGATTTCTCATTGGTCCAGGGTTAAAGGCTGGATTATGGGCAGGTGGTTGGTAGAAGGTGGTTCCAGGGTTATAGTACTGGTGAGGAGGTAGTTGAGGGGGTAAGATTTTTCCTCTCCAAGCTGGGATGACCAAATTGGCCATGTTGATCCTAGGGGCAGGTCCAGACAGGGAGTTTCTTCTGGGTGGAAAGTTCATGGTGAAGTTGGAGTGGGTAGTAAAGATAGATAAGGTATGTTATTTCTATTTCTACTGAGTTGGGTAATAACTAACTAATCTGTGTCTGTCTATATGTAGTCTAGTAATTTGTAAGTGGTAGTGACTAAAAACCAAAGATCTGTTAGGCCACTGTTGGGACACCACTTGTGGAACTACTCTTGGGAGGAATAGAGCTTGTGAGGGATGAGTGCTTTATTGGGCTGCCTCTCTGATAACAAGAAAATATAAGAGTATGGACTCTTAAGGAAAAAGGTGTGGCTGTGGAGATTTCTTGAGGATGGTATGTCTAATATTTCTTATGGTTACTAGTCTAAATAAACTTGTCACAAATCAAGGTATCCCAAATGTTGATGGGCAAATACCTGGCTAATAGTGGGTGATCAGTTATCTGAATTTCTGGGGCAGGCTCTGATGAGGAACAAATCAAGAGGGGAAAACAAGGCTCCTTATATACAAAATCTGGGGAGTGGCCAATTTGTGGTTGGAAGATGGATGGAACAAAATGGAACAAAGAATGAACAAGGAAGAAAATTGTACTATGAACAATGTGGCCTAATT